TGGAACAGGGGCATATGACCCCAAATCTTGAAGCCTTAGCTCACACTCAGTCTTCATTCCCACTGCCTGCCCAGGACCAGTTCTTGGTCATTTATCCATCATGCTCTATTGTGTCCCAGGCCTCCCACCTCATCACCCTTCCCTTGTGACCAGGGGCTACAACCATGTCATCCTGGTTGAGTGAGAGGCCGCACTCCACATCTGCCATTGCCCTCTGCTCCTGGTTGGGATCTGGGTGGGAATGTGGGGAGGGTCAGGTGCATGCCCCATGCCATCACAGAGAAGAGCAAGGCTGTGGTCATCCTCACCCAGAGCTGGCAGCATTATGACCAATTAGGCAGGGAACTCAATGAGGGTCCCTTACCTACGCCCAATCCAGGCACAGAGTTTCTCAGCATGGAGGTTGAAATCACTAGGGTGTTGCATGTCTGCTGTGGGTTGAGGCAGCATACTCTTGGGAAGAGAAGATTAACTTCACCTCCAACCAGGCTCCTGCTTTACCATTTTGCACTACACTCCACAAATTACATAACTGCCTCTACTTAGAATCTTTACTCGCCCAGCTTCGTTTCCTGTTATTGATAACAGCAGCACCCTTCTCCATATCACCCAGGGCATTATCTTCCCTTCCTCTTAGCCCAACTCCACACCTGCAGAACATCTTCCATCTGTCCCCTGCTGCCCATTTGCACTGTCCCTGCTTTAATTCAGTTGTTCATCATGGCTCCACTAGATCATCATAATAGACTGTTAATTATTGCCACAGCTTTGAGCCTCCCCCTGTTCAATCCATTCAGCCACTGCCACCAGGTTACCCAAAACACCACCCTGATCCTACTAAAATGTTTTTAAGGGCTCCCTGTAACTCTTAGTCCCCGACTGTTAGTAAAATTCAAGTTCTTTAGTCAGGCATTCAAGGTTCTTTCTTCTTTTGCCCTCATCTTACTTTTGCATATTCGTTCTATAGCATGGGCAATACTCTGGCCAAATGAAACCATTCACTGTGCCCTATACACATTTTGTGCTTGCTCATTCTTGTGTCTCTGCTGAAGCCATTTTACTACACCTGGATCATGACCCCCAAACCCACAACTGTCTCCAACGGTGAAATCTAACCCTTTTTTCAGCTTGAATGGCACCTACTCCATGAAGTCTTCCATCATGAGGCCAGTCACAATGGGACTCCATTCTCCTCTGAGACTAATCATTTAGTCTGCAACATTTATTAAGCATAGCGCTTAGTATTTACTTGTTTGTGTATAGTATATGCCCCTCAAATATAAGTGTTTGGAGGGCAAAAAAGCATGTCCTCTCACCTTTGTATACCCACAGTCCCCCTACCCAGGCCTTAGGTAAAATGGGCGCTCAGTGTATGTTTGTTGGAACTAATGAATAAATGAAACTGTACTGTAAACAGATCAGTTTTCTGAAACCCTGGCACACCTGTAACCCTTCTGCGTCATCCCCTTTCCTCCTCCCAGTTCACCTAACAAAACATCCTGGCTGCTTTTCAGACCCAAAGCCCATCAAACACCTGTATCATCATTATCAACACTAATGAAAATATCATCTCACACTTTTTATTAATGTTTAAAGTGCTATATTCTGAATGCTCAGAATAATCTCAAAGAGAACACCTGTTACTTGAGTGCTCTTATTTTCAACCTCTTGAGGGCAATTTTTTCATTACTATATTAAAGTGGGCTGTTTAATAACTTATAACTGTCAGGGGAAAAAAAGATAAATGGCAGTCACTATGATCCATACTGGATACGTAAAATGAATTTTTTTCCACTTGCAATTTTTTTTCTTCTAATTTCAAGTCTGTTTTTTAGACAAATTGAAGAAAGTAATGAAAAGTAATGAAATAAACTAAGAGGTTTTTTTGCTGTCAGAACTTGTATTCAACTTTAGTATTTCATTAAACAGCCTACTCTTAACTCCAGAATGTCTTGTTTATTATCATAATTTCATAAGTATCTTTAATGCTTTTCTCTCACCCATATCCTAAACCCAAGAAGATCATCAGCCTAATTTTTAAATGATTAAATTTTGAAACATTGTATCATAAAAATTTCACCTCCCAAAGAAGAAAAAGAATGTTAGTTGAATCTGAGCAAGAAACACCTTAAAAACATAGTAGGTAATGAAAATCAAAGAAGATGGTTATATTTTTACAAAGAAACTTCAGAATGTTTACAGAGGATCAGAATTACAACAACACTGTGATAAAAGATCATACATTTGAAAGGTTGTCGGTTTTCATTAAGAGAAATCTGTAAGAGTCAGAAATGGGAAGGATGGGGGGAAATGCTAGAATTTAGGAAGGATGCAGCATTAATACAACTCCATAAAAAATTATATTGCATGGGTTTCTAAAAGGAACAAAGCATAAAACTTTTGATAGGAAAGGATAGGGTCAAGTGTTATCAATCACATTTAGAGGAATCTGAAGTAGAGAGTTGAAGGGTAGATATTTCTATCTTCCTTGAATGTAAAGATGGTTCTAAAATACTTATTTAACGGTGGAACATGGCTCAGGGAAAGAGTAGGTTGGTCAAAATGTGCTGAGTCCACATCTCTCAGTCCCTGATCAAGAGAAAAACAATTGAAAATGAGATAAAGAAAAAGAATTCTAGCAGACTAGTATCATCGTTATCATCATAAATTGTTACCATTTCCTGAGCAATTGCAATGTGGCAGGTACTGTTTTAGGGGCTATAATGCGATACTCATTTTATTTTCCAAACAATTATTTTATCTTTGCCACATAGATGTTATTATTCCCATGTTGCAGATGAGGAGATTGAGACTTAGAGATAAAGAAATTCTCCCAAGTTCACACTAATGGAGACTACATATTATGGTACACCATAATAAAGAAAAAAAAGCATTTTTTTTGAAGAAGAGTAGCATTAAAAAATGAAGAAAAACACACCACGTTAAAAATATAGAAATATATAGTAGAAGCAGTGGTGAAAGGAAAGAGAAACTTTCTGAGAAACTTTTCTTCATTTCAGGTCGAAATGAAGACAAGGCATGACGCAGACAGATCTCAAATTCTCAGCCAATATCACACCCTCCCCCTACCTGCCTTTTGCCGGTCCTCCCAACAACCTGTCTTCTCTATAGCCATCGCTGCCACCCTGGGGACTCTCCTTTCCCACTGTCAGCTTCCAGATATCAAAGGCAACTTTGCTTTCATTCTGTCTTCAGAGTATGAGTAGGGCCCAGAAGAAATATCAGCTGCTACAAACCCGATTGTCTGTAACTCTGATAACACCTCTAGCCACGATTCCAGGCAGCAGGAAGGCAAGTCAACTGCTGAGGAAGCTGGGAATTCTGCTCTGGAAGAAAAGGTGGTTATGGGGACAATATTAAATACAAGCTGGGAGTTGAAGGAGGAGAGCAAGAAATAAAGGCTCATAGAAATAGGAGAATATCTGAGGAAGAACAAGAAAAAGTAAGGCAATGAAGAGAATAGAATGCAATTCTGGGTTCTAACAAGTGCCATCCAACTAGGAAGAGGTTTTTTGTGTTTTTTTTTGTTTTTTGGGGTTTTTTTTAGCCCAAACACACAATACAAATGTGGAAGGAATAGGAAGGAAAATACTTTGTGATTGTTCAACTTCTTAAAGAATCTTCAACATTCCAATTATTAAATGTTTCCTTTCTTCCTATTTTCCAAGATCACAGAGAAAGAGACACTTCTGAAAGTTCATTCATTGGTTGCTTGACCTAAAACTATCAGTCTTCAAGGAGGGTATAATGAATAAGGCACCTAATCAATAACAAAAGGTTAATGAAGAGGGTATTTTGACAGGCATCCCTGACTATGAAAGTGTTATACTGACAGACACCTCGCAAAAATGTGAAACTTGGTTTTAGTCCAAGCCAGTCAATTTTCTATGTAAAATTGTCAACTTTCAGATGAAATGGAGAAAATTTTGCCCTCAGTCTTCTTCCCACCACTTTTGCTATTCTGATCAACAGCTACCAAACTCTAGAGAAACAGGTAGCTCTATTAGACACTGGAAGAAGTGCTCATCAAATGACCACAAAACTTTCAATTCTTATGAACCCTGAAGAAGTCTCATAGAAAGCACATCCAGTTTCATCATGTTCAGTGAATAGATACTAAAGAAATTAGAATTGACTGGCTTTCGGATCTGGCATTTAATATCAAGTTCAAATTGCCGTGAAAATGAAAGGCTTAGAAATAGCAGAAAACAGCATGTTGGGTTTCCTTTTCCACTTGAAACTAGCAGGTTTACCCTGCTGATCGCCTCTGGAGTTGCTAAGAAAATTACCAATATTTGTTTGTTTCACAAACTAAAAACCTACATGCTCAGTCCTGTCAAAAGGTGACAGCAGAAAATGCTATATTCAAACCTCAAGATAAATAATCCCTCTATTTGTCCAACCTTTCTAAACTCAGTAACAGAAACAATTAAAAAGGCCCACTCTTCCTCTGATTTTCCTCCTCTGTTCTTCTTCCCTACCTTGAAATGCATGCAACTTTAAGCTAAGGGATGTGAAAGTAGTTTGGTACTTTGTTTCCCGTCCAACTCTGAAAGAATGAAATTTATTACAGTCCCAAAAGACATCAGAGACACCAACATCCCATTTTCTTCAGACTAACACTAGTATTCTGGAGCAGACTTTTTTTTTTCAAGCACCTCACAAATGCATTCTAAAACCATACAGTGATATTCTTAAAGATAAGGAATCTTGACAGAGAAACATGTGATATTAATGAGTGCAAAATGTAGTCCTTGTGATATGTGAACTGTTCACAAACCACTGTGTGTTCGGAAAAGACCATTACATCAAAGATGGTGTAGTAACATTCTAACTGGTCTAAACTCAGAGGGAATTTAAGTAGCAAGATTAGTATTGTAAAGAATCTAAATTAATGTGTTCCTGGATGCCAAAGGGTAACAGAAGGCTTAGCTTCCAAGCCAATGGGGCTCTGGAAGGGGGACAATGCAAAGTCCTACCTGGTAGGCATCAGGAATGTTGACCGTTTCTCCATGCTCCCCGACATAGCCAATGATGCCTTTGCCCCAGGGGACCTGCACCTCGTTTGAGTTCTCTGTGCTGCTGCAGGGCAGCAGTGGGGTTCCTGCATGCACATCAAAGAATTTGGAGACCAAGCTCTTCTTGCCAGCAGCTGCCCCCTCCACCAGGAAGAGAGAGCAGCGGTCAGCGTCCACCATGAGGCAGACAAAGATGAGTATCTTGTAGCTCAGGCTCGTAAGGTCAAGGTCATTGGAGATATCCTTGACCAGTTCCAGGAAGAACTGACGCTCATTATGCTTTTTGAGGTGGCACTTGTAGTCCATGGCCGTAGGGGGGTACTGAGGCAGATTCACCCTCGATTCCAGCAGGGCACTGAGAATGTGGGCCGTGGTGGGGGGCAGGGAGCTGGCCTTCCGGAGAAGTGCCCTCCGCCGCACACTGCTCAGGGGCTCCTGGGCCCGGGAAGTCACCTGTTCATCGTAGGTCCTGTTCACGTGGATGGCCTTGGAGCGAGCAAAACTCTTCCTGAGCTCTTTCTGAGAAGCTCTCCGCTGCAGGCTTCCATCGCCCCGGCTGCCACTGGCCCAGCTGGGACTCAGGGGAACCCCGCCACAGGCCGCGCCACCCGGAGCGGGGTGGCCGTTGGCCGAGCTATTTGGTCCAGTGCCACCGGCAACACTGCCGCTGCCTCTGCCACCACTGTGAGCCGAGCTGCCGGTGCCGGCCACTGCGGGCCTTGGGCCTACCGCCCCCTGACTCCCACCGTGCCTCTGCAGCCACTTCTCCACCATCTCCTGCTTCCCCTTCCGCATCAAGTAATCTTCAAACAAGTCTGGGTGTCTGTCCAGGAAAGTTTCCACCTCCCCAAAGTCCAGGCGGGAGGCTGTCATGGTCCCAGACACAGCTTTCACGGCCACTCTACACTCGGACCAAACGTTTACCTACCCCAGCCCTCTAGCTGGTCCTGCACATGGCTACACCCACCGGTCTTCCCAGCTCCGTGCGAGCTCCGGCTGAGCAGAGGAATCTCAGCTGGGAGGGTCCCCTTCCTTCGAGCTCGGAAAGTGCCTGGCAAGAACCCCACCCCCTCGTCCTGCTACTCCTGCTCCGCACAGGTGCCCCCACTGAGCTGCTGCCGTGGCCACAGTTCCAGTCTGGAAAGCCGGAGCTATAGCTGTTCTGGCTCCCGCTGCTGCCGCCGCCCGCTGCCGCTGTACCCGGCTGAGTGGACCACAGCGAAAGGGAGGTAGGGCAGGACACGCCCCTGAGTGAGGCGCGGAGCCCGCGGCGGCGGGGAGGGGGGGGGTGTTTGGAGGGAGCCTCGGGCGCCGGACCAGCCGGAGTCCACCGCCCAGGATGCCCGGCGGTTCCTGGAAGAGACTTTGAACCGCCGGAATCGGCGCCTGGGAACGCGGCCGACTCCTGATTGGAACACGATTAAAGGGGGAAACGCACCTTGTTCCTTCCCCCTCCTCCCATCGTTACTTCCCCAGCCCTCCCAATTCCCCGTCCCTTAATCCTCCAGCGTTTCCAGCAGGTCCCAGGGGAGCCCAGTGGGAATCCAAGTACTAGGAAGTGTTGGTGTTTTGCAGGCATCAGACCCAGAAGCTGACTCCGAGGAAATGAGGATGCTCAGAGAAAGGGAGGATTATTTTTCTGGGATGTGACTGTGGATTGTTGGTTCCTAAGATTCCTGGGACTGCCCGCTAACACTGCCCAGCTCCTGTGGGCTTTCAGTAAATATTAATGGAACTGGATTTCCCCGAAATTAGCAAATGAAGTTACCCATTAGCTTATGACTTTAACCAAATTCATGGACCTGGGAGAGTGGGAAAAGGTGGTACACGGAGGGAGGGTATAAAACACAGTTCCTTGGATTAGGGTGACCTTACCTAGCAGGGGCGTATAGCAAGGCGGACTTAAGGGCAGTCCTGCATAATGCTATGGGTGGTTTCTCTTCTTTTCATGGATGACTGACCATCTCTTCCTTCTTTCCCCACTCAGTCTGGCAAGGCCACCAATGCTTCCCTTCCTACCAACATCCTAGGCCTTTGTGGGTGAGGATTTCTCCTCTGTGGGAAGCTTTTCTTTCTCCAGACCTAGGGATGCTCCAGATCTGGCTTGTCTCAGCTAGTTAGACGGAGAATAACATCAAGTTTCCTTGGGGCTTTTCCAAACCTAGTGGTTAAATGTAGGTGATTTTCCAGGAAAGAACAGCAGGCTGATAACACTTTCTTGATGCTCAAGGGTCTCCTCTTTGGTGAGAAACAAAAGCAGACGGGAACTATCTAGTTCCCTGGGACAGCAGGACAATCTAGACATGTTCTTACAGAATGACAGCAATGAGGGTAATAGAAAAGAGCTAGAGAGGAAGCAAGCAATGACTTTACAGTGCTTCCATGTGGCAGGCACACACAGATGACCTAACACAGTAAGTAAAGATTACTGCCGGAAGATGTCCTCAGAGCTAAGCAGACAAGGTGTATCAAGTACTTGCTATGTATTGATCATTTTATTTATTTTAAGTAGGCTCCACACCCAACATGGGGCTTGAACTCACAACCCTGAGATCAGCATGCTCTACCTACTGACCTAGCCATGCGCCCAACACTGATCACTTTATGTTTTTTTTTTAAGATTTTATTTATTTATTTGAGAGAGAGAGCAAGAGAGAGCATGCGCCTGGGGCAGGGAGGAAGGAGGGGCAGAGGGAGAGGGAGAGAATCTCAAGCAGACTCTGTACTGAGTGCTGAGCCAGATGCAGGGCTGGATCTCATGACCCTGAGATCATGACCTGAGATGAAATCAAGAGTTGGACGCTTAACCAACTGAGCCACCCAGGCACCCCAGCAGTGATCACTTTAAATTAAGAGATTAGTTTATCCTCGCAAGAGACTTAGGAGGTGAGGAGTCTTCTCGTACTTTCAAGATGGAGAAATTCTGAGAAGTTGAGTAACATACCCAAGGTGCACAGTCAGTGGGTGGCAGAGCTTGGGTGCAGATCCATTTAGTTTGGCTCCAGAGTGAGGCATGCTCTTAGCCACATCACTGGACTGTCTTCCACCTGTGTCAGCTGAGTCCTATGGGTGCCAGGATTTAGGCTAGTAATAGAGATGCAGGGGCTGGAGCAGAATATTCTCTAAACACCCCTCTAACAGCACCAGGAGTTGCACACAGGAGAAAGAAAGGCTCTTATTCAAAAATTCCAAATTTCCCAGCTTAGTTAGCATGATTAAGAACATGGCCTTGGCACTGAAAATGCAACTGTGAACAAAACAAAGGCTCTGCCTTCACAGAGAAGGTGGGGAGACAGCCAATACACAAAGAAGAAAATAAATACACAGAATAAGAGAACATTGTGATAGTGCTGTGAAGAAAAACAAAACTTGGCAAGGGATTAGATAAAGGGATGAGGTAGTGGAAAGGCTCTTTTGGGCAGGGGACACCTGAGGAGAGATCTGATGGAAATGAGGGAATGAGTTATGTTGATATCTGGGAAAAAGAATGTACCAGGCAGAGGAAGCAAGTGCCAGAGTTGAGGTATGCAATGTATTTGGAGTATTTAAGAAACAGGAAGAAGACCACCTAGCAGACAGTGAATCAAGCACAGAATATTGGTAGTCTGGAGATGTAGGCTGCTAAGGAAATCATGGTGATCAAGAATTAAATTTTAAAAAACAATCAGCACAGTGCCTGATACATAGAAAGTGCTCAATAAATGTTAGCTGTTGTATTACTTTTATGTTATCATTGTTATCATCCTACGTGATAGTGTATGGAAACCTCACTGCATGTGATCACATCTCTAGTAACTTAAGTGGAGCATCAGCAAAGATGGTCAAAGTGGTATGCTGGAACTGGCTTGCAGAGGCTCACAGAGCCCATTTTAGCATCTCTTCCCAACTCCATGTTCAGTGACATTATGTAGCTTGCAGTCATCCATGATGGGAGTATTTATATGATAGAAGTCAACAAATGCTACAAATCAGGATTTTTTTTTCCAGATTGCAAGTTGTTAAACATTTACCAACATTCAGTGAAAACAATTCAATTGTTCATCAACTGATGAATGGATAAATAAAATGTGGTATAGCCATAAAGTGGAATATTATTTGGCCATAATAGAAAGGAAGTATGTACTGATATAGGCTACAAATTGGAGGAACCTTGAAAAGTTTAAGCAAAGTGAAAGAAGTCACTCACAAAGGACCACATTTTGTATGATTTCGTTTATATGAAATGTCCACAACAGACAAATCCAAAGAGACAGAAAGTAGACTAGTGGTTGTCAGGAGATGAGAAGAGGGGAGATAGAGACGAAGCAGATGACCACTAATAGGTACAGAGTTTCTTTTTGAGTTAATGAAAATAATGTTCTAAAATTAATTGTGGTGCTGGTTACACAATTCTGTGGCTATACTAAAATCCAATGAATTGTACACTTTAAATAGATGAATTGTATGGTATGTGAATTATATCTCAATTAAGCTGTTATAAACCAACAACAACAAAAACTGTTTACCAGGACATGACTGGTTATAATGCAGCAGCAATGTTGTGCATGGAGGTAAGAAAAGCACTGAGCATCCTCAAAGAAGGGAGAGACCAGCCCTGGTCTGCTTGGAAACAGGTTTAATAGTTAGTCATTTCCTTAATCCCATCTTCCATGTATTCATTATAAAAGCAGTTGTTTAGCATTTCTCAGAGCTTACACGTTCATGTTCCAGGCTCTTGGAGCAAAAGGAGACTAAGATAAAACCTCTGCCTTTGATTGAGGATCTCACAGTCTACAGCACCAAGAGCAGTGAGAGTAGAGAATAATACTGGGAAGGGTGGGAAAATGAATTGAGCATTTGTGGCTTGGTTTTGAATTGGCTCCAGCTTTATTCCCTGCTTGGTTTATGAGGTCACTGAAGGAGTCAATGGTTGAGGAAGAAAGTAAGAAAGTGACAGAGAATACTCATAAGATAGTCCAGAGGGCTGTGATGGAGGGCTGCATAATAAGATGTGTGTTGATGTGGCCCCAATTGCCATTTCCTCTTCATTTTCAATTTGTAGAATGGTGTATTAGTCATGGTCCCAAGAGAAAACAGAGCACACTCAAAATAATTTCAAAAGGGTTAATTTATAAGAAGACTGATTACAAAGGTGGAATATATGTAAACCACTGGGATAATGAAGACACTTGGGACTTAAAGCAACAGAGAAATCACCACCCCCAGACCTGATGGGAGGGTCACCAGGACTCAAAAGGACAGAGACTTACATAGTAACAACTGCCTTCAGAGGAATAGTGACAGCCTGTCAAAAGACATCAACAGCTCAAGTTGACCTCAAAGGAGGAATATCAGAAATAAATACCTTGAACTCATTCTCCCTCCCTCCTATCATGACTAGACCCAACTAGAAGCTAGAAGGTGTTGGAGCTTGTTGATAGAATCCATATGGGTCATCCTTCCTAGGTAGAGAGTAGCAGGGACAAAGAAGGATCTGTATAAGCTATGGAGGGACACATGGAAAGTATTTGGCCCAATATGGAATCTTGAAGATGTCCCCTTATGAAATAATGGATGCTATAGCTCCAATTTTCTGCAATTCTGCCCTCTTCTCTGTATAGTTCTGCTAATTCCACCAAAACTGTCTATGATAGATTCTACAACATTTGTAGTCAACAGAACCCTACTGTAGGACACTAACCCTGAAAAGGTATGATACTGTGATGATAAATCAATCAGCTAAGGGAAAAAGCTCTACAGACTCCCCCTCTATATACCCCTTCTCCTTTCTACCAAGACAGAAATATTGCCCATGTAGCCTCTCATTGGAGAATGGAGAAGATAAAGGGGCCTTCCCACTTGTAGTTTTCAAGAACAAGGGCTTCCTCTTTGATCCAAGTATTCATTACTTTATCACTGCCATTGTCAATTAGCATTTATTGATTGATCACTCTCCCTGTCAAAGCACTGGCTTACATATGCAGAATAACTTTTGTTATTCCAAAGGGGGCCCATTACATTTTAGCACGAGATGGAACTTTAGAGATCATCTAATAATCCACTTTCATTTTGCATGCGTGGAAACTGAGATCTAGAGCAGACATTGAACTCCTCCAAAGTCATCTGCTAAGCACAACCTCTGATCTGCTCCTGGTTCTATCCCTCCCTTACCAACATCCCACAACTTGAAACCAATATCTTGAAGCCCAATGAATCCTAAGCTTGTCTCCTAATTATTCCATCTCCTAAAACAGACTT